AAATTAGAGTGTAGCTGGCTTACAACTCACAGAGATTTGCTTTTCTCTGTGCTAGGATCCTCAAGTTCTGAGATTAAAGGCATACACCACTACATCTGGCATAATTATCTATTAGTTATATTTATCCTAAAAATATTTCTATTATATATTTGATTCATTCCAATACTGTAGGGTGTGGATATTTGTAACAAAAACATTTATTTGATGTCTGAACAAACAAAAAAGTCTGTTGCATTGGTGAGCAACTTGTCATTTTTCAGAGAAACTAACAGGTACTGAAATATTCTGAAGGCATTTTGTTGCTTAAGTGTGCAAGAATAAGTGGCAGAGCTACCTGATCATCCCTGGGCCACTATGAGACAAAAGTCAACACTATCTCAATAAAGGACAAGGATTTGGGGTCTGCACTCTAACTCTTAGCTTACACATTAGCAGATAAATGTTCCTAATTGTGAAAAATGCTAACTACTAAAAGGTACCTATTAGGGGCCAGGCAGTGAGGAACAAGTCTACAAATGGCCAGACACCTATAAGCATCATAAACTATGGCAGGTTGAGAATGATTATAAAGACTGAAGATCCTCCAGTTGTTCAGTCTTCTTATGTTTTTCTTAATAGTTATTTGCTACTGGAATTATCTTTTTGATGATGACTCAACATAGTGGTTATTAGCTTCTACCTTGAAGGTGTTTTGTAAGTTGCAATATAAAAGCACATCAAGAAAGTTTAACTAGTAAACATCTATTTTTCAAATCTCTCCAAAACCCTTTGCAGCTTATTTTCATTTCAATAAAGAACACTGCATGGCATGGGTCTCCTGACTACAAAAAATGCTTTTTAGACTCAGAAATAGCTTCAAGAAATGCACAGACCCCCCCATTAAAGTCACCTAGTACTTCTAGAAATTTTACATATAAAGACAGTTCTCTGAGAATAAGAGCTCTAGAATATTTAATGATATCATGGCTAAATTGGTTGTCAACTCAACTACACCTGGAATCAACTAAAACCCAAACATATGATCATACATACCTGTGAGGGATTTTTTTTTCTTGATTGGATCATTTGAGATGGAAAGATTCATCCTAAATCTAGGCCACACCTTCTAGTAGCAGTTCATATAAAATGGCATGGAAGAGGGAAGCTTTTTTTTGCCTGCTTGTCCTCACTCTTGTTGGCAAGTTCATATATCCTGCTGCTGAGGCACGTCTTTGCTGGTATTTGAACCTACTTCTTTGAGACTTCAGTTTAGTTGTAAAATCAGCTGAGGCATCTAGTCTCATGAACTGAACAACTACTAGATTATTGGCCTACCACAGGCAGAAAGCCACTGTTGAACTACCTGAACCATAACCTGTAAACCACTCTACTAAATACTCCCTTTAATATTCTTTCTATCAGTTTTGTTCCTCTAGAGAATCCTAACACAAGTGAGTTCTCAAAAGAACTTGTGATCAGATACTCCTACCACCAAAGATAGCCACATTAAATATGGTTAAGAGCAACTAAACCCAAGGGAATAGTTACCTGGACATAGAGAATGCCACAGGTTAAACTGAGTGAACATGGACATATACTGTATTTCTTAGGAGAAACAGTTTCTATGTAAAGTCATATTCAAGGATCGATCAAAAACTTTAATACTGAATCATCAAAAATATAATCCAAAGCCAGGCATGATAGCACATAACTTTAATTCCAGCACTCTGAAGCAGAGACAAACAGATGAGTTCTAGGCCAGCCTTGTCTATATAGTGAGTTCCAGGACAGCCAGGGCTACCTAGAAAAACTTGATTTCAACACACACACACACACACACACACACACACACACACACACACACACACACACACACTCTTCAATGAATAACTAGTAAAGAGAAATGCTATGATTTCATAAGTCTTAATTATATTTTTTTCTGTAATCACACATGACAATCCATTTCTCTATCTTCACTTTCATGGTAGAAATAAATGCACCAATATATTTTAAGTTGAAGGTCTGTTTTTTGTTGTTGTTATTTTGTTTGTTTTTGCTTAAAGATGCACTTAATTGTGTATATGGTTACTCTGCTTGCATGTATGTCAGCACACCGGAAGAGGGAATCACATCTCATTAAAGAGTGTTGTGAACCACCATGTGAGTACAGGAAATTGTACTCAGGACCTCTGGAAGAGCAGCCAGTGCCCTGAACTGCTAAGCCATCTCTAGCTCCAGGACTGAGTTTTAAAACAGCTTCATCTGATAATTCATGCGCCAGCTCTACACAGATCTACTGAATCAGAAGCTCTGGGGTACAGCTGGTAGAAATATGTATTTTAAAAAGTCCATCAGGCAGTTTCCAGAAAGTGAGTTTGAGATAACAAGCAAACCAAACAGTGCTGTACACTTACCATTTGTTGTATAGACTGTGAACTTAATAGAGGCGACTATTTCATTATTATCCAGGGTGTCACACTCGAAAGCCATGGGATGAAGTTCTCTTTGTACTTCTAGGACTGCTGAATCATTTGCAAGTATAACAGGTTGCTATTAAAAACAAAATAAAAAACAAAAACAAAATGTATGAATGATCTTGACTGGGTTTGCTGCTTGCAAATGGAGACAGTGAAAGACAGGCAGGACACTCTGGATCATTGGCAAACACAACCGGTTGACAGAGTGAGGAAACATTCCTCTAACAAAAGGGGAACTGCTCACACTCAGCCTAGTATGTGATTAATTGATTCCAAAACAGAATACAATATTAAATGTGTGAATTTGAGTTGTGATTATAGATGACCCTAAGACATATGTATTTATAGTCTGACAAAAATTGAATTCCAATAATATAATAAATTTTTATGATTTTAACTCCATTTTTCCAAATTGCTTTCATAAAACATCAGAACTAGGTACCTAATGTTATCAGCCACTAAAAATACCATATTATACACAGTCATTACTTACTTGGTCTGGTTTTAGAACCTTCCACATATATTTGAAACGATTTACAGGAGATATATGAACACATGCCAGTCTAACACTTTCAAGACTTTCAGAAAGTGGTTTTCCCCCTGAAAAAGAAGAAAAAAATAGACAAATATCACTGGGCAGAAATTGCTTTATCTGGCAATACTCCTTTTTTGATCAACAATTTTAATTATATCATCAACTAATTCAATTATATCTTCAGCCAAGAGACATAACACTATCAAGACACTGTGTATACATAATACACACACATCATATCTATATATATTATACATAATATGAGGGTAAGACTGGCTGTGAAAAGCCAAATTTCTAATTTCTCCAGTTTTGAATAAACAGATTCAAAGTTATGAATTCTACTGAAGATCCCTGAAAAGATAACAAAAGGCCAGGTTAGAATCCAGGTCTCAAATCCTATCTCCCTACAATGGTAAATAACACTACTGTAAGAAAAACTCTCTTGTCTGGGGACCCTTTCTCATATGCCACACTGTTGTAAAAAGCCACCCTCAGAAGTCAATTAGATACTGAGGACATTGAATTTTGTTGAGTCTGATTATAGAGAAGTCATAAAAAGAAGCAGGTGAGGAGAAACCAGGGCTCTTTATTTGAATGCGGAAGAAGTGTGGGAGAGGAGAAGGCATTCTACTTAGTGATATATTACTTTGAACATGGGAATCTGT